GTGATGGAAATAAAATTCATAATTGAAATCTTTACTTTTAAAACTATTTTCCAAGCTCCTGCTATATTCTAAATTCATTAAATATCCAATTCTCAAACTTCAAGCTAGCTTAATCTCCATCGAAAATACTTTTGTTCATTTTAGAATTAAAAAAAAGAGCACATTTTGCATTTTTTCGAAAAAAAAAGTTATTTAAGAAAAATGTTCCTAAAAGGATATTAAACGGTGCTGGAGGATAAAGAAAAGGAAATTGATACAAGAGTAATGTGGAAACCTTTTTGCTACAATGATTTTTCATTAAATGTATTTGAACTTTATTCTTTTTCTGGAAGGAGATTAAAAGAATAATTGATCCTGAATTAAACAGTCTTTCTTTCTTTTAATAGCATAGAAAATGCTTAAAGACATAACATTTATTTAAGTAAATGTTTGCACACGATCAATAATCTTAATCAAAAGGAAAGTGCTTTTAGCCAATAAGCTTCTTATGATTTTCAGTTCCTCTAAAAATGAAGTTAATAAAGAAGTCTCAAGTTTCAATTTTCTAGAGTAGCTTAGCAAATATATGTGCAAAGTGGATTCTGTGAATTAATTCTTAAAGTAAATATGACCCATTATTTTACATATTCTCAAAAGGCTATTATTTTCTATAAAATGTGGATTATTAATTAATGAACTAGAAATGAATGGATGTATTGTTTAACACATTTTACATGCGAACAAAATGTGAAAATCAGGAATGAAATTTGATTAATTATTTAAAGAGGAAAAATAATTCAGCTATTTTACATTTGAATACGTTTCTTGAATTTTAAGTACCTAGATAAATATGATAATAGATTCAATATTACCATATTTTGGCTGACATCCTCTTAAAAATATTTAAAAGGAGATAAATGTTTCTCATGTTAATCAATACGAAACCTAAAACTTGCTCATCATTTTAATTGAATTAAAATTTCTGCTTAACTATTAAAATAAATGGTTAGTATATTGATCTTCATCACGGAGTATTTCGAAGGAGAGGTAGAGTGGGAGAGAAAGGATGTGAAATAAAAAGTCTTCTAATAATATTTTTACAAATTTGTTATTTGAAGAAATATCATATCTTAGTCACTGTAGGGACTGTTAGAAAATAAGAATGTTTTCCGAACAAATTTGATATAAAAATTTAGATGTGACACAAAGTCATTAACCCATTAACGCATAAATTTTTATTTGCCGTGTCGCAAAAAAAGCTCTTTTTATAAAAGTAGTTATTTATTTAACTAAATAAATACTTTCTTCTCTTAGCTAGTACTTGATTTTTGTAAAGAATAAAAAATCATTTGCCTGGTGTGAAAACAGTAATTTTTAAGATCACAAGAATTGCCGTGATTCGGCGAAGTACATGCCAAGATAGGTCAAAATGGGTCAATTGAATCTTAGTACATGAAATTGCTCACACGCATACATAATTTTTCTATTGGTTCACTGCAAATAAACCAATTTTAAATTCAGTTATTATGTGTCAAATCAAGTACAATAAAGTAAAATAAATAAATTAATTGCAATAAACTACAATAAATAAATTAATTACAATACGGTGCTTTTAGTGACTAATCATGTGTTTTATATTGATTTTTCTCATGCTTGATTCTTTAAATCGAGAGGAATCACAATCTTCAACATATGGTTCCATTAATTTAGGATGTGAAGCAGAAGAAATTTGTGTATCTTAATAATATTTTTTTAAAATATGCTTTCTCAGTGTAATATTTATAAAATGTGCTTTCTCAGAGAGGATATTATAATAAAAATATTTTTTCCGACTTAATGAACTTATTTAATTTAATTAAATATGAAAACATTATCTAAAGATTGTACTTATATAATTATATATTAATCAAATAAATGTAGTTAAGATTTCAGGATACTATATTCATAGTACATACTTCATATACGTACTTCATATACATACATCAGGCTCATATCCCTCAGGAGCGACCGCTCACTGTTCCGCAGTGAAATGGTCGTTAATGGAGGTGGGTCATTCTTAGGGGTTACCTTCATTGAGTTCAAAATGTTATCGAAGGTGCATGATTAAATTTCAATTTTATTCAGTGTCATTTTCTTGGTGGGGAAATGCGATTTGTGTTGGCATCATGAAAATCGGATGGATGAATAAAATTTAGTGTCAATAAAAATAGCTTTTACTGATATAATTGTTAGTAAAAACAAATTTACTAATTCGGGATAATATAATTATATAATTGTTTTTAATAAATAAACAATTATGTTTTTGCTTAAGTTTGCATTTTATTTTATATCATAAAAATTAGTTAGTTTTAAAAAATGAAAAGAGGTTTGTTTGTTTGAGATACTTAGTTTTTTTCTAATTTAACTTTCAATTCTAAAAATATATAATTGATTTCATCATCGTTCGGCAACAACAATCTCTTTCGAAGATGGTCAAAAAAGCTTTCTAAATAAGAGCCACTGACAAATAATTTAATAAATTTCAATCTACTTACTTATTTTGTTAATATTTTTTGTTTTGATATTTTTTCATGCTTCCTTATTTTTCCGAATCCGCATTTGATGCAAAAGTTTTCTCGGTCGCTGGGAGAAGTTTTGGCGATTTCTCCAAAAGTTTTTCTTCAACACAAAGTCTTTGGAAACATTCTCTCTTAAAATGAACGAGTGAAAATAACTCAACTTGAGTGCTATTTAACTCTTTCATCTAGAAAAAACCGGCCTTCTCATCTTGAGTTAAAATCACTCAAGTGAAAGAGTTATATGGAAATAGCTCATTTTGAGTGAAAAAAATTTCACTCAAACTTGAGTTATTTTCACTCGAGTTTGAGTGATTTTCAGTATTACCTGAGTGAATCGTTTCACTCAAACTTGAGTGATTTTAACTTGTGTTTGAGCGATTTTCAGTATTTCAGTTTGTAAATTGCAGTCAAAATTTTTACTGTTAATATTCGGAATTTTTGTATTTAGTGGTGCCATCTATCGTAAGCGATAAAAAATACTATAGTTTTCGTTTCAAAAAAATTCCTTTTGACAGAGAAAGCCTTAGATAGGAATTTTTTTTTATCTTAACGTTTGTTAAATTTAAATATCGAATTAGATAATATAGTACTTGTGAAAGTTTTCGCTGTGAGCATATCGACACTGGCTGGGATTCGAACTGGCTTCCCGTCTGTCGTGAGATTGACCGATTAACCATCTCGGCTGCACTCCTGAGACAACACGGCTACAAAGAACTAATTAGTTTCATGAGCTGGGTCTTGTTGGCGAAGATAAAGTTTTTATTTGTTAAATCAAATAAGGTGAAAACACAGTTAAAAAAAATTTTCAGAGTTAACAGTTTGAATAGCAGCATTTTGTGGTTATCCAATTATTTTGATTGTATACAGTAAAACAACAATTAAATGAATTATTACTTAAGAGGTTTTTTTCTTATGAAAAATTCCTAACCACTGTAGATTTGAGTTTTTTTTTTCTTTCCCCTAAGTTACGTCATTTTTCTTTGAAGTTTAATTTTTAAAAGTAAGGAGCTCTAAGCGAATTTTTAAAGTAACCAGTTTTATAAATATTAGGCTCATTTAGGTACAATTGAAAATACTATGAGTCATTTTTTTTTCGAACAAATTTATTCGTTTAATTTATAAAGCTTTACTTTCAAGCAATAAAAAAGGTATATTGTTTTAAATTGCCAAAATTTTTTTAAGACAAATTTCTGAAACTAAGTGAAATTAATAAATTTTTGAAGAGGACGTTAAAAGCTAAAAAATCTGGATTAAATACCCTTTTTCAAACTAAATTTTGCAAACTCTTTTGATATAAATTTGTTTAAAATCCAAACTATATTTGTTTTGATTAGAAAAAAATAAGTATAATTTTTGTTCTGCAATAATCCTAGCTTAGTATGAATTCGAATAAAAAAATTAACTAATTAACATTAACTACTTGAATTTACTTTAATATTCTTTTCACCATAAACTTTGATCAAACATAGTTTTCTTAAGTCAAAATCAGTTGTTCTTAATTTAAGTTGTATCGCTTCTGAATTATAAATAATTACAATTAAATCAAGTATGTATTTTATGAATTTTAACTATTATGAATATAGATAGTGTACGTTATTTCCGTTATCAATATATATGTTTAGAATTTTTACCTAATTGTAAGAAATTAATATATAATCAAAAAGAAAAAACATTATAAAAATTTAATATACCAGCCAGGAAAGCAAGATTGAAGACATCAAACTCTTTCAATTTTACAACAATGCAAAGTAACTGCAGTTTTTCTGCAGATTCATCAGAAAGTATACTTCTGAAACAATGACTGCATAATTACTTCAAATTTACTGCAGAATGACCACGGATTTAAAGTTTCAGTTTTTTCTAAATTTATGATTTT